CTCTCGCTCTTGTACGCTTCAGTTATTTCAGCTGACATTTGTTTATATTATGTTTACACTGAAACTTAAACAAGTTATCCGCAATGCAGCAGACAGTCACAGAATCGCTGCTAGTAAACTTTTTGGCATGCGCATTTCAAATACAGATTAAGTTCAGGGTCGACTGAAACTGATGTTGGTGATTTTCAGTGGAAAAGATGTTGTGTCTCACACGCTGAGTTTCAGAGACTGTCCCTTTCACAAAGTTGTTTGACATAAAATTCAATGACTGAAACTAATTTTAAAATAAAATGTAGTCAGAACAGTCAGTCCCTTTAAATACATTTACTCAAATGCTGATATAATCTCCAAGAGCCAACTGTGACGGACATTTTTCCAGCGGTATGGCACAGTAACTGACTGAATGTGTCTATAGCTTTTTAAACAGTAGCACACACTAAATATTTCCAGTATGGGGAAGATTAGTAACTGTCCTGTATTTTGGCTAAACAAATCTGGTAAAAATGACAAGCAGACAGTAGAGAAAATAATTTTTGCCCTCCATGTGGAGTTCCTGTAACAATGTGATGTCATGTGGAAACTATGAATACCGCTTGATTTATTTCATCCGTGTTTAAATGAAAGTGCTTTAATCTGTGTCGATTATACTTCAACTGTCAGTTACTTCTTTAGTCTAGTTTGTAGCAGTCTCGACTTTCTTCAGGACTTTATTTGACCTTTATCTTCTTTCCCCATCTCACCTTGAAGCTGGAGCTCTTCAGAACGAGGTATCCCCCCTCTATCAGGTCCAGGATCAGTTTTAAATAGAGATATGAGCCTCTGCTCAGGCTCTTCAGGTGGCTGATCAGTTTGGACAGTGCAGTGTTATCGAGGCGGCCATTGCTCAGTGACACATTGCTTTGGATCTCAGTGCTGCTGTGGATACGCTGCATCAGGTAACCCTGAGAAAAGACAGACCGATGCAGTACAGATGTGCAGACAGACAGAGAAATAGAAATCTATTTACACCTTACCTGCAGGTCCTGGTCTATGGCGCTATTCTCATCCATTCGGTCTAAAGAGATGCGGTGAAAGGGCAGAGAATGAGTGATGTCCTGATTGAATAAAAACACAAAGAAACAGATTTTGTTAGTTCAGAAAAAGTTGTGTTTATTAGCCGTGTGTGCTGCTCACAGTAATTTGGCAGCACAGACAGTATTTGCTTCAGAATAATATGATTTTAATCATATTCAGAAGGTTCCAAACTGATAAGAGATATTCAGTTAACACTGGTAACAATGGCAGAAACCAACACAACTCAAAATAGTCCCCATGTGCTTGTTTGTATGTTTATGCTCTCTTCACAATGCCTAGGACCCACTGCACTAGCATAGAGTCTTTCTCCTTTAATGTGTTCAGGGTGAACCTGCTCTCATCTATGGAGCTGCTAGTTCTGGATTTGTATGGCAGATGTCTATCAGGCTCCACAGTGCTGGGCTGTGACCAAAAGGCCCACTAGAGGACATCGGGCCTGAGACCACCCTCATGAAGTCTGTTTCTGATTGTTTGGTCAGAATCATTCACACATGTTCTCATCCTCTTCAACCCTGTCCAGGTCTCCTACAGTCTCCTGGAATCTCTTCGATGTTCTTGAGACTGTGCTGAAAGACACAGCAAACCTTGCAGGAATGGCACGCATTGGCAGGAGCTGGACTACCCGTGTGACCTCTGTAGGGTCCAGGTATCACCTCATTAGACCACTGTTAATGGACATTAGAGGACATTAGACCACTGTTACAGCACGATCAGCGGGGCCTATC